TCTGCTGTCCTACCGGAAGAGACAGCTGTTCCGGCGTCGTTTGTGTTACGACGCCGGACCAATAGCGCTCCGACGCGTCCGTATAAACGCAACCAACCTTTTCCGGATCGGGATGAGCGAGCTGCACTGCGTTGCGGAGACAGTCTTGAAGTTCCAGAAATGATTTCACGTGGATAGGGCCCCAAGACAGACTACGCATCCTGATATTGCGAATAGACCGATTGGTCCGCTTACCAGACTTGGAGTATGCTTGCTCCAAGACAGCAGTCAACGGCGCGGTCCGAGTAGTAAAGTCGGGGACTGCGGTATACATCCAGCGGCAACAATATATAAATTGGGCCAACTCCTCTGCGTTGTCAGGCATGCTCACGTCCTTCAGGCCTTCCAACCGCGCCGGGTCCAGGCGAAACCCTGCTGCAGAGACGATCCGCCCGCACCATTTTAGCTCCTTCTCGAAAAGTTTGCTCTTCCTCGCGTGCAAGAACAAATTCTTGTTTTGGTAGATTGCGAAGAACTCTTCAAGCTTGTCGAGAAGAAACCCCTCTTCCCGCGCATGAAGGCTAAAGTCATCCAACCAGGCCTTCAACCAAGTCCGAAGCGTGGTGAAAAGCGGCTCTACTGAGCTTTGGAAGAAAGCGGTGGCGTTGGCTAGGCCTGGCAGCACGCGTGTCGATGCCACCACTCTGCGTGGGGTCACGATCCCGCACGCGGTGTAGGACTCCGGGTGAACTGGTAACTGCCAGTATCCCGATACGAAGTCAAGGCAGGCGAAGCAGGTGCTACCTGCGAAGTCTCGAATCTCCGAATCGATGTGGGGCATGGGCCATGCCTCTTTGACCGTCGCAGCATTGACTGGTCGTAAGTCCACGGCCATTCTGTACTTCGCCCTTGATCCCGGCTTGGGGACAAGCAGCGGCGCCGCTTGCCACGTGGCCGTAGGCATGTCCTTGACGAAGTCCATCTCGCGCAAAGTGTCGATGTACTTGTCCAAGAACCTTGCGCTGTTCCGGAGAGTAGCGTCTTGCTTTCGCTCTCACCGGCCTCACGTCTGGATCCAGACGCACCCTCATTGGGGAACGTCGGCTGGAGGGGTTTTTCCCAGCCGAACTCGAAAACCGAGCGAAAACGTTTCAACATTTCGGCGAGCCTCGCCGACCCCGAGGGGCTCAAACCATTTGACTTGGCTCGCTCGAGCATTGCACTGAGGGCCTCGTTGAGGGCTGCCGGTAGGTCGTCTCCCAGGTCGATGTAGACATCACTCTCCTCGAGCTTATCGTCTTCCGCGCCACCGCTGCGATGAAACGTGCTGCCCCACTCGAACTCATGGTCGCGCAAGACACTGCCAATAGATGTGGCGCCGTCAGAACACGGGTCGTCCTCGTGTCCAGCAGCCTTAAGCACATCCGGCACGTTCACGATTCCCCCCAGCCTGTCACGCGCGGCGGCTAGCATGACACGATTGTCGATGCCCAGCGCAGCCAGCACATGACGACCTATGTACGCGTGCGCCATGCCATTGTCGCTTACCAACCACTTGGTCTTGCGCAAGATCAACTTTTCACCGTGGCGAATTCGCAACTCAACATCGGCCTGTACCATGCGGCTACAGGCGATCGGCGGAAGACCAGCCCGCGCTGTGTCGAACGTACGCGCCTTCGCCAATTCCTCGGCTTTGATCCCGTTATCAGCTTGGACCAAGGCGTCGAACAGGGTTGATGGCATTACGTTGACATCTGAACCCTGGTCAGCCAGCACAGTTGCTTCGACAGCACCGTTGCAAAATCCTGCAAGGAATAAAGAAGAGTTCTCCTGAACAGCGCCGGTGCCCTGAATTGCGCCAATCATTTTTCCTTCACGCCTGCGGCGCTTCTTCTCTTTGTACTCCTGGAGGTACTTATCCTTTTCTCCCTGAGAAGCAAGGTCGCAGTCCTTGATATAGTGCAGTTTATCGCAACGCGGCAACAAACAATTTGGCAGCTCGCGTGAGCGCTTGTTGTCCGCGGTCTGCGCGCCTCTGCCTCCAGCTTTGTCGTTCTTTTCAGCCACGGGGGCCGCCGCACCACCGTTTCCCGAAGTTGTCGTCCGTGTTCTGTTTCGATTGCGACCACCGAGCCCCCTACGAATCTTGACATCGTCGCTGGCTGGAGTAATGTCCGGGTCATCTGAGCCTTCCTGTTCAGCTTTGTATGCCCTCACGGAGTCGTGTCGGTCGAAGATCCTGGCTTCTTCGGCTAGTAGGCGCATGAACTTCGCAAAGTCCTTGCGTAGCTCCTCTTTCTTAAGGTTTAGCGTAAGAACCATACGTGTGTTCAAGTCGACATGAGTGACGCGCTTCATGATGTGCTTTACAGCAAGCCTCGGCTGCTCCTTGACGAAGTTCGCATAACCGCACTCCCGGAGTTTGGTACTGTACTTCAGGAAAAGCCTCCACACTTGACGTTCGAGACTGCAGTTCCTGTCACCCTTTCCAAGCTTTACGCTCTGGATCTCACGCTCAATCCTGGCAAGATCGTAGTCAGCGGGGTCCACCTTCGCGCGCTCCTCGATGCACTTGCGCAAGTGGTCTTCGGTGGCCTCTGTAACATCGGGAACGGGCACCCAGTTGGCGACGATGAAAAACTCCAGAACATTTTTCTCGATCGAGTTACGGAGCGTAGTCAGCGGGATCTGTACGCCAGAGTCGGCGTTCTTCTCAGAAATGCGACGCTCGTAGATCTCCCTCTTCTACTTGAACGTCACGAAGTCTGCGATTTCGACATTCTTGAGGCGAGGTGCTTCGATGGTTTCGGAAATGGTCTGACGAACCGTATCTCCTTTCCCCTAACTTCCATTCTTCTCTCCACTAGTCATAGCAAAAGACTTCCTTTGCAAAAGGAAAATGAAGTAATTACTGTGACGTCTCGCGGTAGACGAGCGTTAGCGAGCAGCGAAGGAACGCAAATGGCAAAAGCGATGGCCACCGTCCGTTGGGGTCTCCTCCTGTCGTTCGTCCCCATCGGATCCCTTTATTCGAAGTTTTCGAGCCGGTCGCCTCATGCAAGCCCGTTCAGCGCACGGTGTCTTGCCTCCAGCACAGACGACCGTTCGCGCGGCGGCCTCCTGCACAAGACAGTAGGAGACTGTTTCTCATACTGACAGCAGGAGGCCGTTTCTCAAAAGCTTCGTGAGCCGGCCCGAGAAAAGCAGTAGGCATCCCACTCATCGCGTGTGGCCATGGCTCTAGTGCTTTTTGCTCCATTGCGCGCTCGATTATCATCCCGCTCGCGAGCACAGTGCTCTAGCGTTACAGAGCTCAGGCGCGCCAACGAAGCTGAAGGGCTCGCTTGAACGCTCCCTTCCTTCTTCGAGTCATTGTAGTCACAGCAGCCAGAGGAAATCGCTAAGAGAGTTGGTAGATGTCTCCAGAATCGAGAACGATGATGGAGCGTCAAATGCGTAGGGAGACCCCTATTGATCGAACTGGCACTACTTTTAGTCAAAATAATTGTTCCATGGAGAGCGCAGAAGTGCAATGACTTTCAGCGACAGAAGGGGTCATTAGATCGCGCTAGAAACGCATCAGGGGGCGGCCGTCAATCTTTTCTATTTTATTTTGGAAAGTGTCTGAAGGACTAACCACCAGTTGCTGGAACGCAGTATAGTTTCGTTCTTTGTCGAACTCTGGAACTCGTCCACTTCGGAAAGCGCAATTCAGATTGTTGAGGCCCCAACGGCTTCTAAGTCCTGTGCAGACAGAACGTTTATGCGGATGAAACGATAGTGAATGGATAGCGAGGATGGCCAAGGACAGGTTGGCATTTCTCAACGCGAATCTAATGCACCGCGTAGAAATAATGGACCAAGATCAGAGCCCGTCCCAACATAACCATGCCTTTCTTTTTGAGCGGTGAAGCGGCTGTTTGGCGGAGGGATCTGGCATCGCATACACGTGTACATAGCAATATGATGAGATCGCCGTCGTTCGGCACCCGCGTTGGCGCCACAAAGAAGCGCAAGAGGGGTTTCGCAGCTCTTAGTCACAGCGCCAAGCTTGCTGACGGCAGGTTTAGGAAGGCATAGCTTCGGTACCGTGGGGAGGCTTACCTCTGACAATGAGCGAAAGCAGGTGGCGACTGCACTGCTTTCCCAGCCAGGCACAGTTCTAGTTCAAAGTGCAGCATCCCGCAAAATTGAGAGGCAGGAGGGCGGAGGGCGTACCGTTCTGAGAGAACTTGCTCGGCTTTTTGGCCCCCCGAAGGCGAAAAGGGTGACGCTACTTATTCATGCAGGTTCTTTGACCAAAACTCAATCTCGTGCCTGACACGCTCGCACGTGAACATTGCAGTTCAGCCATCGTGGCTCTGCGAACGGAATGGGTCCTTACTTTAGCTCTCTTGGAGTGTCGTTTTCTTGAGGGTTTCTGTTCAGGTTTTCGTCGTGGTAGGCTGCCTTGCGCTTTGTGACTGTCTGTCGCAGTTTTGGGAAAGGCTTCCAATTTGGATTTCATAGAAACGTGTGCACACCTCGTACAGGTCTGCGGATGCAAGTTGGTTCAGGTGAGCAAGGGTGTATTCGCTGTTCTGATCGTGCCCCTGTAGTTTTCGTGAATTCTCGAGGTGCGACAAGATTGTATAAGCAGCACGATTCCACGTTTCCAAGGCGTTGACCAAGAGTCGGGACCAGCCGGCCACGGCAGCATTGCACGTGGTTGGTCATCTTCATAGTTCATCAGAAGAAGCCATCCATAGCGATGCGCTGGACGCAACATCGCCTGTCACTCGTAGATCCATCCCCTGTTGATTTCTGTCGAGCATGCAGACACGCGCACTGATCGGTCTTCATCCTTGTTCCATGGAGCAGTTCCTACTTCCCTGCCTCGCCCCTCGCGGAGAAGTTTGGCAACCTGCCACATTTCGTTTGACAGCCGCAGTAGCTTGAGCTCCCATTCCAGCAACACTTTTTGTCCACTGTTCTGCGCAGCCCAAGCTACCGAAGAATCCTCATAAGAACCCCGATATGCCATGTCTGAGGCTCGCGAGGCTATCCGCGCACGCCGCGTGACATGGAATACCTCTTGTGACACTGCCCTTAAGGCGCACGCCCACGAGGTCAAGGTGCCCTCCTGGTTGATAGGGGACTGCGGAAGCTGTGGCGCAGGAGAGCCAACTGTGCGTCGCGGTTGAGGTGTGTTGTCGGCATGCCTCCTACGGTGGTGCTTGTGGCTTTGTGTGTAGTCACCCATCTTGGTCTCTCCACGGCCTGATTTGCGTGCTTTTTCCTGTGGTCCGCATGTGTCACTTTCGCGTGAGTAGCTGGAAATGGGTTCACGAATCCCGCTTCCGTGTAGTTGTTCTTGTAGCAAGAGCGTGTCCGCTTTACATAGACGAACGTTTCTATCTGACTCAGCTCTTCTCCACCGTTGGTGGAGCGATAAGACCAGGTGCTGCTGTGTGTGCAACTCTTGCTTTGCTTTTTTAGATAAGCTTCTGAGCTCACTGATGATATCTCTTAGCCCGCACCTGTGTGTTTTGCTATGCCCTGTAGTCGGTTGGGTCGGTTTTGACTGAGACGGAACACTGCTCCACGAGCTGCCCCTCGTTTTGGGAGCATGTGCTGTCAAGAGTCCAACAATTTCCCCAACCCTTTGTTGTACTTCTGTTTCTCGTTGCTGTAGCGCAGACGTCTGCAATTGCACATCCCTGGTGCTTTGCTGACAAAGCTGAGCTCTACCGCCGTGATTTTCATGGACGAATATGCCATGGGCCAACGTTCGAAGTCCTTCCGCAACTCTGCGAAGCCCGTCCTCCCAACTGGATTCCATGAACGCCACTCTTTTTTCTTTTCCGGACCTTTCCGGGCGCGAGGCCTTTTCTGGATGTGAAATGAATGTATGGAGACATTGATATTTGCTTGGGTCTTGCGCGAGTCCTCGGAGTTCGGACGCTAGGGAAAGAAGGTCTTTTTCCCACGCCAAAACAATTGCTTGCTTTTCGCTTTGCATACTGCCGTTCTCCGCAAGCCTTTTGAACAAGATTCAGAGATCCTTTTATTGCCAGCTTGGACCTTTCCGTTTCCTATAACAACGCGAAATACTTTCGCAACCGCTTTCTCTTCATGCTTTCAAATCGTCGCGATTGTACTGATAAGTATGGGCAAAGTCTCATTTTCGCCCATAGCTTCCACAAGGGATCTGTTAAAACGTAGGTTTTGAATGCATCTTATATGTGCAGATAATAGGGCGCTACTGCACCGCCTTACTAACTTGGCTTATTTAAAATGAGCACTATTTAAGCGTTTCAGTATGTTCCCATATCTATCACACTTCACGTTCTGTACTGCCCACAATGAACTTTGGAGTTCTCTGACATACTGGTGAATACTGTAAAGAGAAAACAATCTTTGATACCTATGGCAACAGCAACTTCTTACAAGCGTTGAGCTCGTGTCAGTCTCTCTCGTGGTGCTTACAATACTTAATACCACACTCGGCATGGAAACGGCCTGGTCCTGGGTAGTGTACACACAAAATGTAATGACGAAGTTTGTGCTGATCGTCAAAATAATCTTGCAGGTAAGAGGCCGAGAAAGGCCACATAAACTGCCCATCCGCAGAAGAAATCTGAAACGAGCGTCCGTCCCGATCTAGTTGTATGTCTCCAAATACATCCTCTGAAGTGAACGTTTGAACCTGTTAAGTTTGGAGAGGAGAAGCATGAAGGGCATGTCTACCCGCCGAATGCATAGTAGGGTGGGAGCTATTTCGTCCGGTCTCAAATACTTCTCATCGCTTCGGTACTCTTTCCTGATCATATCAAATTCCTTTGCTATGAAACACATGTTCAGAAACCGCAATTTTCGCGAAAACCCTGTTTCCAATTTTCTTATTCGAGCGTATGTTTCAGATGTTCCTCCCCGACCCAAATTGAAATTAGCCAAGCGCTTCAACTGCACTAATCCAGCAACTTCTGTCAGTACTAAAAAACGTTCTTACCCTGCAATGGCTGCAAGCGCACTAGTCCGATCCATGCAAGCCTCGACATCGCATTTCTTCCGTGCCCATGAAAAGGCACTGCCACCACCGTTCCGGTTGTGCGTTATAAAGTCTTGACTGCACCATGAAGAGGATCGGTGGAAGTGTGCGGGAAAGTTGGAAAATTTGAGTGCCACACATGGCACTGAGCCATTTTACAAACGATCTCTTTGTCGAGTACAATTCATGAGACAAGTCCAATCGAAAGCAGCAGGCTAGCGTTTTGGTCTCCAATGTGTGGTCAAGCATTGGAACAATCGTCTCTAAATACATCATAGGGACATCGATATTGCTGCAACAGTGCCGTCGATGCGCCCCTGGCCCCTCTCCTCGCACATGCGTGTCAAGGGTAGCCCACCTTCGTCTGCCATCGCCTAGCCCGCCCACCATACCATAGCATGACTGAACTACTCACAAAAAATTCTGCACAACTACCGTTCTAGTCTCCCCAATACCCACTACAAACGACCGGACATCAACCCTCTCATGTTCGTGTCACGAATTCTCCTTGAACGCCTGCTTATAATGTAGATCGGGGACGCCAACCTGATGTTAGAGTTGAATGAGGGTTGAAGAGATAAGGGGGGAGCGAAGTTATGTTAGTAGGCTGTGTTAATGACTGGGGCCTGCATGAATGACTTAGCCACGTGGCTCTGTCCGGCTTTGCGGCAATAGTCGTGCGGCTCATTGGGGGGAAAATCGAAGAGAGAAGCGTCGCCCTGGACACCAAAGTGAAATGCGGAAAGGAACGAAGAGCTCTGACCCTCCGACTGGATTGAGTGAAAGGGACTTGGCTCTTAGACGTAAGCATTATTGGCATCGTCGTGTGGGTCGTTGCATCACTGCAATAAGTCGGTTGGACTGTATCCGATTCGGCTTGAAGCCAGCTAACAAGCTACGCAACCTATTTAGTCTACAAGTGGGCCACCCGTCAAATACTCATGCCCGGGTGTCTGTGGGACCCTTCAGGGAGCGGTTAAAAACAAAACCACCCGAAGGACAAGAGAGGACGCGGTGAATGAAGTCAGCGAAGGTACGGCACGCGTGTCCAAGACATCAGTTAGGATGAGTCTGACGTGTCACGTAGGAACGAGGGGAGAAATACTGCACGGAAAAGTTATGCATTGGTTGTTTTTGAGAGGGAGTTGAAGCTTCCCGGAATGCATACGGTACATCCAGAGACCGTAGTGCTGCCGCGCATGTTGTTCAGAATTGTACCCTTTCTGTAAGCACTGTACAAAAGTTAAAAACAGGTGCTTCAAGTTGATTATGAAACAGATAGAACAAACAGCTTTCTGCGTGTTCTGTACAGTGCGGCGCTTGCTCAAGTAAAGTACATCTGCACTCAAGCTGGAACCCCTCTGGTCAGGTCGCGGCTACAATGTACTACAAATTGCCGACGATGTCATCGCATGATCAATACAGCATCGCTGATGCCAGTTCTATTTCCTTGGAGATACAAACCTTGCCCTGCCTCATCGTCTTCCGGGACTTTTATATATTTTAATTTGACAAAGTGGAAGAGGGGATCTAGGATTGGATAAAATAGCCCCTTCGATTGTCACATTAAGATGGCTGTGGCAATGGAAATTGGCAAGCATGAAGCCGTCATTTTACTTCAGAGGATTTCGCATTACAATTATTACGGTCGACCATAGTCCCACTGCCCACTGTCAACAAGACAGCATTAGTTAATAAAAGTATTAAGGTTTCCGGACCTACGCCATTGCCATTCGTCTCCAAGTCAGCTCGGAAACCATCCCGTAATCATGTTTATCAAACAAAACAGTTTCGTCTACAAGCATTATCCAAAGAAACCCTTGCACCTTTGCCCTCTGATCCCTTCTATACTGAGGGATATTCTTTCCTTTTTTGCCTTTAACTAATCTGCCATTGAGTAACACAACAGAGTATTGAATTCTTCACATATGTATTACCTACATTGTTCTTGTAAGCAACTATTTTGTTTTCATCGAGCTATTCGAATTTCAATTTCTGCGGCAAGATCCTGGGCTATTCAAATAGTCCAAATACCGACTTGGGCATGCAACACCATTTCATTTCTCGGCACGTACCACCCAAAGGCTTGTACGGCTTCTCTTGGCTCGCCAGATTAACATTCGGCAGACTTCTTTTGAATCTCCGTCGAATAATTCTATTTTCTAGCTTACTGCACGAATGCCGTGGATGGACGGATACTTCCCCAAGCCTTAGAGGCCTACCAGTCCGTCTCATCATTCCCTACCTCTCAACTATACTTCGGCTCATAAGAGGATATAAGAACCCTTGAAGCTTAAGCATGATCAGCGAATCGTCCTACGATCGCTTCCCTTCTATTGCTTATGCCCTTGATCCGGTCATTTTCGCATTGTTCTCGCTTCCGGATATCTTCATATGGATTCCATCTTTAGAGACGGTATTCTTCATCAGCATGCCTTTAATCGCTTTCTTATCCGCGCTGGCAATACACATGGCCTTCCTCAGCCTCGCATCGAATGTGCTCAAGTTGTCTCAATACAAGCCCAACAACAGAAGCAGAAGCTGCAGCCTGACAATGAGAACAATGTGAATGGATTGGTTTCGCCGTATGAGTGTTCTGGCGTTAATTATCCATCTACGTTGTCTGGTGATGATCAGATCACTGGACCACAACATCAGCATCGAGCTGTGAGACCATGTCAAGCCAATTTACAAATCGCCAAGGTGATTGGGAAGGAAACAAAACGCTTCGCCTGTGACCAGTGCAGAGTCACCGCTGCCGATCAACATAAGCTACGCCGGCATGTATTGCGAGTGCACCAAAAGATCAAGCCGTTTCAGTGCCGCGTATGTGACATGAGATTTTGCGTGCGCCATGAGAGAGATCGACATGAGTTTGCAAAGCACGAAAACATTGGAAGGTTCGATTGCAGAGAGTGCCAGAGCTCCTTTTCCCGAAAACACATCTTTTCGAAGCATATGAGAGAAGTTCATGGGCAAGAAGTAGACAATCCTTCGTGTGAAGCATGCGGAGCGACGTTTGAGAATAACGCTCTTCTCATTCATCATAAGCGCAATACTCTTTGCAGTAGTCGTAGTATGTAATGCGCACCGGGACAACGATCCAGGGTTGCGATCAATTGCGTATCGCTTCGTTCACAAAAGCAAAAGGGTTATCCGTCAATTTCCAGAAGAAAGTCGGTCCTGCGCCTCTGTTTTTTGATATTTATCCTTTTTGGATGCGTAGCACTTCATACTGATACTCTTTTTCTCATTAGACAACAATACGATTATGAGTTCGCCTTATATCTTTTCCCCGTGTTTAAAGCACACAACAATAATGTAACTCTTTTCGTCAGAGACGCCTTTTTGGGGCCCCTCACCTCTGCCAGATTTCGAAACCGTTCATAGAGTAGGTGGAAATATATTGCAGTTTACTACGATAACATTAAACTGACAAAAGTTTCAATATACTAGCGGAAGTGTGTCCACATTACATGGACGAGCTTTTCTATCTGAGTCAGCTCTTCTTTTCGGTTTGGTTCCGAATGCTCAGGTTAGGGTAAACGGTTGAATAAAATCTAACTGTTAGGGATGCTTTCCGTGACCGAATAAACCTCCTGCAGCAGCATTGTGTGTTTCCCGATGAGAAAATAGTCCTGAAGTCATAGAGCTGACAAATTAAGATGAAACTTGTTGATGTTCGTAGATGACCAGGATAGTCTGCGAGGCGGTGACTTCAAGTTCGTTAAAAATTTACTTGAAACTCGCTTTCATCCTATATTTATATGACATATCGCTTCAGCTTTCTGAGGTTAAAGAAGGGTAGATTTTTTGAGATGGACAAGACTAAAGTTCCTTGCTTGAAAGACAAGAGCCCAGTAGGCTGTCATCAGGAGACTCTAAAATAGAGAGGGCTGGGAAATACTGCTCCAACTGTACATTCTCTTATTTTTTCATGTGTGAGTTGCTAAGGAACTTCCCTCCGTGACTGTCAAGTGCTATTTCAAGCCAAAAAGACAGAAAATCTCTGTACGGGTATTGCAGTATACTGCAGTACACTGTAGTGCAATAATCTTCAATCGTTCTGGAGCGCATAAATAGTGCTCATTTTAAATAAGCTAAGTTAGTAAGGCGGTGCAGTAGCGCCCTATTATCTGCACATATAAGATGCATTCAAAACCTACGTTTTAACAGATCCCTTGTGGAAGCTATGGGCGAAAATGAGACTTTGCCCATACTTATCAGTACAATCGCGACGATTTGAAAGCATGAAGAGAAAGCGGTTGCGAAAGTATTTCGCGTTGTTATAGGAAACGGAAAGGTCCAAGCTGGCAATAAAAGGATCTCTGAATCTTGTTCAAAAGGCTTGCGGAGAACGGCAGTATGCAAAGCGAAAAGCAAGCAATTGTTTTGGCGTGGGAAAAAGACCTTCTTTCCCTAGCGTCCGAACTCCGAGGACTCGCGCAAGACCCAAGCAAATATCAATGTCTCCATACATTCATTTCACATCCAGAAAAGGCCTCGCGCCCGGAAAGGTCCGGAAAAGAAAAAAGAGTGGCGTTCATGGAATCCAGTTGGGAGGACGGGCTTCGCAGAGTTGCGGAAGGACTTCGAACGTTGGCCCATGGCATATTCGTCCATGGAAATCACGGCGGTAGAGCTCAGCTTTGTCAGCAAAGCACCAGGGATGTGCAATTGCAGACGTCTGCGCTACAGCAACGAGAAACAGAAGTACAACAAAGGGTTGGGGAAATTGTTGGACTCTTGACAGCACATGCTCCCAAAACGAGGGGCAGCTCGTGGAGCAGTGTTCCGTCTCAGTCAAAACCGACCCAACCGACTACAGGGCATAGCAAAACACACAGGTGCGGGCTAAGAGATATCATCAGTGAGCTCAGAAGCTTATCTAAAAAAGCAAAGCAAGAGTTGCACACACAGCAGCACCTGGTCTTATCGCTCCACCAACGGTGGAGAAGAGCTGAGTCAGATAGAAACGTTCGTCTATGTAAAGCGGACACGCTCTTGCTACAAGAACAACTACACGGAAGCGGGATTCGTGAACCCATTTCCAGCTACTCACGCGAAAGTGACACATGCGGACCACAGGAAAAAGCACGCAAATCAGGCCGTGGAGAGACCAAGATGGGTGACTACACACAAAGCCACAAGCACCACCGTAGGAGGCATGCCGACAACACACCTCAACCGCGACGCACAGTTGGCTCTCCTGCGCCACAGCTTCCGCAGTCCCCTATCAACCAGGAGGGCACCTTGACCTCGTGGGCGTGCGCCTTAAGGGCAGTGTCACAAGAGGTATTCCATGTCACGCGGCGTGCGCGGATAGCCTCGCGAGCCTCAGACATGGCATATCGGGGTTCTTATGAGGATTCTTCGGTAGCTTGGGCTGCGCAGAACAGTGGACAAAAAGTGTTGCTGGAATGGGAGCTCAAGCTACTGCGGCTGTCAAACGAAATGTGGCAGGTTGCCAAACTTCTCCGCGAGGGGCGAGGCAGGGAAGTAGGAACTGCTCCATGGAACAAGGATGAAGACCGATCAGTGCGCGTGTCTGCATGCTCGACAGAAATCAACAGGGGATGGATCTACGAGTGACAGGCGATGTTGCGTCCAGCGCATCGCTATGGATGGCTTCTTCTGATGAACTATGAAGATGACCAACCACGTGCAATGCTGCCGTGGCCGGCTGGTCCCGACTCTTGGTCAACGCCTTGGAAACGTGGAATCGTGCTGCTTATACAATCTTGTCGCACCTCGAGAATTCACGAAAACTACAGGGGCACGATCAGAACAGCGAATACACCCTTGCTCACCTGAACCAACTTGCATCCGCAGACCTGTACGAGGTGTGCACACGTTTCTATGAAATCCAAATTGGAAGCCTTTCCCAAAACTGCGACAGACAGTCACAAAGCGCAAGGCAGCCTACCACGACGAAAACCTGAACAGAAACCCTCAAGAAAACGACACTCCAAGAGAGCTAAAGTAAGGACCCATTCCGTTCGCAGAGCCACGATGGCTGAACTGCAATGTTCACGTGCGAGCGTGTCAGGCACGAGATTGAGTTTTGGTCAAAGAACCTGCATGAATAAGTAGCGTCACCCTTTTCGCCTTCGGGGGGCCAAAAAGCCGAGCAAGTTCTCTCAGAACGGTACGCCCTCCGCCCTCCTGCCTCTCAATTTTGCGGGATGCTGCACTTTGAACTAGAACTGTGCCTGGCTGGGAAAGCAGTGCAGTCGCCACCTGCTTTCGCTCATTGTCAGAGGTAAGCCTCCCCACGGTACCGAAGCTATGCCTTCCTAAACCTGCCGTCAGCAAGCTTGGCGCTGTGACTAAGAGCTGCGAAACCCCTCTTGCGCTTCTTTGTGGCGCCAACGCGGGTGCCGAACGACGGCGATCTCATCATATTGCTATGTACACGTGTATGCGATGCCAGATCCCTCCGCCAAACAGCCGCTTCACCGCTCAAAAAGAAAGGCATGGTTATGTTGGGACGGGCTCTGATCTTGGTCCATTATTTCTACGCGGTGCATTAGATTCGCGTTGAGAAATGCCAACCTGTCCTTGGCCATCCTCGCTATCCATTCACTATCGTTTCATCCGCATAAACGTTCTGTCTGCACAGGACTTAGAAGCCGTTGGGGCCTCAACAATCTGAATTGCGCTTTCCGAAGTGGACGAGTTCCAGAGTTCGACAAAGAACGAAACTATACTGCGTTCCAGCAACTGGTGGTTAGTCCTTCAGACACTTTCCAAAATAAAATAGAAAAGATTGACGGCCGCCCCCTGATGCGTTTCTAGCGCGATCTAATGACCCCTTCTGTCGCTGAAAGTCATTGCACTTCTGCGCTCTCCATGGAACAATTATTTTGACTAAAAGTAGTGCCAGTTCGATCAATAGGGGTCTCCCTACGCATTTGACGCTCCATCATCGTTCTCGATTCTGGAGACATCTACCAACTCTCTTAGCGATTTCCTCTGGCTGCTGTGACTACGATGACTCGAAGAAGGAAGGGAGCGTTCAAGCGAGCCCTTCAGCTTCGTTGGCGGCGCCTGAGCCCCAGCACAATGTCAAGCCCAGTTCATGGGCACTGCAAGCCATTGGTTGACCTCGCACACATCCCAACTGGCACAACAGCGCTGCCTGAAGCGGAGGCAACCCTTGTTTCTAAAAACTCAACCCATGAAACTTTCCCCGCTGTCCTACTCCGGTGCTGGTCCAAGTTCTATCCCTGCTGTTTTCAGAGCTCCAACGCTGTTTCCTATCATTTACCTTTGCCAACCTTAGGACATGTGTGTGCTGCCAGCATTCCATAGCGGCTGTGGCTCAGTCCGCCAAGGGCATGGTATCGTCATCTAAAGAATTCTCTCCCGTGCTGGCGCCCACCAGCGAGCTATCCAGGTTCCCGATCCGTTCTACGCCGATAACGCCGCCTGCAAAGCTTTCCACTCGTGGCATATCCGCCATGGGCAAGCCCAGATGCGCCACGCCCCCCGTCTGGCTCTTACACGCAAACTCGACCATTTCCTTCTCCCCAAGCAAAAAGTCGCAGCAACGAAACCCAAGCCGCTCCCTAACAAGTCTATCGACACCCGTGGCCACGTCATTGTTCCCCACCAGCGCAACCAAAACCCTCATCAAGAGCACGACCGCCGTCACCACAGCCAGCGCCTCCAACGCAACATACCTACTCCTTCTCATCACCAACGCGATCCTCCCCCCGTCCCAAAACGGCAGCGCCGGAACTCCCCCCTCCTCAAACGTCAGCCGATACTCAGCCACCATCAACCTCTCTGTCTCCACAAACGTAATGAACCGCCCCACGTCATTCAAAATCCCAGCCGCTAGCTCCATCGCTCTCTCGTCCGTCTCCACCTCGCATGGTCGAAGAACCCCAACCACATGCTCTTGCCCATCCTCCTCCGGATACTGCACCCTTTGGTCCCTCTCTCCCTCCCTCCCTCCTCCACACACGCTCGCAATCCTCTCCATGCCATACTCAACGACGCGGTTCAAGGCTTCCTCATCCACGTGCGGCTCTATATAGTACAGCGTCTCCCCCGCATACATGGACACGCTCTTGCGCCGGCTGGCAAACACTTTATCCACATTAACCCAGACAGTAATACTCGAGTTCCTTGTAATCGCGAAGCCCAGGCCAGCTTCGCCCGGCGCGAAGCCCGGCTGAAACGCAATTGGCAGCTGGCACGCTGCGAACTCGACGAGGGCGGAGTCGCGCGGCCCCAGCTGGAGCGGGACGAGTGCGCAGCGATGGCTGATGCGAGTGGCGCGCACGGGCGGCGCGGCGGGGTGTGCAAAGCCGAGGGCAACACCGGCGAAGCGGGCCGCGGACGCGGAGAGCGCGGCGTCGCGGCTCAGCGTGACGGCGACCGAGGCGATGGACACGAGCGGGGCGACGGCGAGCAGGAGCAGCAGGCGCAGCGCGGCGCGGAGCGGGACTTGGTGGTGGTGGCGCGCGACGGTGACGCGGCGGAGCGCTTGGCGTCCGTGGTGCAGGCGAGTGAGGGAGTCGTGACGCAGCACGCTAGCGAGCACGGACAGCGGAGAGGAGTTTCGGACGAGGAGGAGTGTGTGCACGGAGGAGAGGGAGGCAGTGCGCGCGGGCTTGAGCGAGAGGAGAAGCGAGAGGAGCAGCGAGGTGAGATGGTAGGAGAGGAGCGTGATGACGAAGGCGATGGCGAGCAGGTTGGGAAGAGGGGCGCGGAGCTCGCGCGTGAGGAAGGGGGGGGTCGAGGCGTACGTGAGGAGGCCGTCGCGGATCATGGCGGAGAAGGGGCCGCGCCGGGCGGTTGGGAGGGAGGCATTGCGACGGGGGGAGTGGGGGGACGAGGAAGGGGGGGTTGACTAGAGGCGGGAATGACGGCGGGGAGGGGATATATTGTTGCTGTTGCGGGCGGTGGGACGGGGGAGAGGCACGTTCTGACCGGACGGTGTTGGTTAGGGCTGGGGAACATGGATATGCTCATGCATGTTCTGCAGATAGGGAATGCGATTTCTCGAAACCCGTTGGCAACTCCCGTTGAGCGTCACGTGTCGAGCCGAGATATCCTCAGCACAGATCCTCTGCACAGATCCTTACAGCACAGTACACCTGTACTGGACAGTCCACGTAAGAGCATTGTAAGGTTGCAGAGGAGAGCACGACCATGATTCGTACGTTGAAGAGCTCAATGATATGCATGAGGAGATTGCGGTTGAGTTAGTACTTGTTGCTACACAAGCACGCTCGTTGAGAGTCAATGTGAATGGCATACCTGCACTCCACTACATAATTGACGCCCGCGCTCTGATCATTGAAAAACAAGGGAATGAAGAGCAAAGATGTTACTAATCTGGCAGTCTGAGAAGGGGAGCGAGAAACGCCGGTACTTACCTGGTGAAAGATCGGAGTGGGGACTCACACAGACGGCGAAGGGCTTATGAGATGGGAATAGACATGAGCTT